ATACCTAATTAATTAATTAATTAAGGAATAATGTAATATTTAATTTACAAAAATATTTCATACAATGTCCTTCAAGGGAATTAACAGGAAAAAAAAAAAAAACAGAGGCTGAGAGTTTGGGTGTCTGCGCGGCCGGCTGGAGATCTACAACACACAACAGGAGAATTGCACAAGGCTGCCACCTGGAGATGCCTGATGATATCTGCAGCATGCAGGAGAAATGAGCTAGCTAGCTAGGTGGTCGGATATCTCCGCAGCATGCAGATCGAACATGGAGATGCATGGCCTGAGCTAGCTATGATGGTGCAGCATGTACGTAAGAGAAGGAAGTGGAGATGGCTGAGGATGGTTCGGCCAGCATGCAGGATCGGAGCTGGACATGGTGATGGCCTGAGGAAAGTGCAGGTAGCAAGGGAGAGAAGGATTAATGGAGCTGATCTGCGCGGACAACGTGGGGAATGGGTGGGTATTTAAAGGACTTTCAGCAACAAGAGCTATGTTGCTGAAAGTCCTTATCACTATTACCATCATGCCTCATGTTGCTGAAACATTTTTGAATTTTAGGCTTACCACCCATCAGCAACATGTACCATATTGCTAAATTTTCAAATCATTTATACTCCCACCACTCTACACATTATTAAAATAAATATATTTTAATTAATTTTAAATTTTGAAAAAAGTTATTTTATATTTAAAATTTTATTTATTATTAAATTTTAATTAATTTATTAATTTTTATTTAATAGTAATAAATTAATTAATATAATTATATTTTTTTATTAATATATATAATTTAAAACACTAATTTATCTAAAAATATGTGTTAACATATATATGTCAGGTTACATAGATATTTCATATAAAATTGTTGTAATTTTTGACTTTTAGTCGACTTTTTAATATTAGAGTCGACTCTTATGGGTTAAGAGTTGATTCTATAAAAAACACAGTCGACTATACGCATCACAGGGAACTTCCCCTGCTCTCTGGAATTTGGGAGTCGAATGTTGCTTATTTATAGTCGACTCTTTGAGGATTTAGAGTCGACTCTTTGAGGATTTAGAGTTGACTCTTTATGTATAGAGTCGACTCTAACTTGTAGCAGGATACTCAAACCTCTCTGGAATTTGGGAGTCGAATGTTGGTCACATATAGTCGACTCTTTGAGGCTTTAGAGTCGACTTTTTTAGGTTTTAGAGTCGACTCTTGATATGTAGAGTTGACTCTAACCTGCAGCAGAATGCTTAAACCTCTCTGGAATTTGGGAGTCGAATGTTGGTCATATATAGTCGACTCTTTGAGGCTTTAGAGTTGACTTTTCATATGTAGAGTCGACTCTAACCTGCAGTAGGATGCTCAAACCTCTCTCGAATTTGGGAGTTGAATGTTGGTCATATATAGTCGACTCTTTGAGGCTTTAGAGTCGACTCTTCATATATAGAGTCGACTCTATCTTGCAGCAAGATGCTCAAACCTTTCTGAAATTTGGGAGTCGAATGCTGATCATATATAACTGTGGGAGGATTTAGAGTCGACTCTATTCATGAAGAGTCGACTCTAATCTGCAGTAGGCTGCTCAAACCTCTCTGGAATTTGGGAGTCGAGTGTTGGTCATATATAGTCAACTCTAGGAGGATTTAGAGTCGATTCTTCATGTATAGAGTCCACTCTAACCTGCGACATGGTGCTCCAACCTCTCTGGAATTTTGGAGTCGAATGTTGCTCCCATATAGTCGACTCTTGAAAGCTTGACAGTCGATTCTTGATGTATATAGTCGACTCTAACCTGCAGCAAATGCTTGAACCTTTTTAACATGCCCCAACTTTTGTACTTTTTCTTATTGCACTTTGATTTTACCATAGCACATTACATATATTGTCATTTATTATGTCATAATGTTTGGATTTATCACATTATTATGAATGTGTACTACTTATATAATTCTTTATGTCATAATCATAAATTAAAAGATAAGTATATAAGTACCACATGCAACATTTAACATGACCATTTGCATATTCTAAACTTGCAAGTCACAATAATTCAGTTAATATTACCGCAAACCATTCAATTCCAACTAACATATACACTCATGTCCTAACAAGTTCAAATCATCCATCCAAAAATAAAAGTATTTTCCTCAAGTAGCAAGAACATGCCACGTTTTGAGTTCACAACCTCATGCACACTGATCATTCGAGCCCAGAAGGACCCTGGTAATCTGCATCAAATCTCGGCTGATAACCAAACTCATCTTGCGGGGGATTAGGTGAAGATGTATTTGGAACTTCTGACTGTCTCCCCATTTGGCCCATTGGGAATGCAGGTTCTATCGAGAGTTGCATTGGCATTGCATGAGGAAATGATGGCCCACTAGCATGAAACGATGGCCCAGCAGTAGGGAATGATGTCCCTACAGGAGGAAATGCTTGCTCGATGTGAGGCAACGATGGCGTAGCACTAGGCGGGCGCATCCCGTACGCACTAAAAGAAGTGAATTGCTGCGATAAAGAAGCCTGCATCCTCCCAATTTCTTCCATCATCCGTTGCATTGCTTCTCGTTGCTCTTTGACTTGCCCTATTTCATCTCGCATCATTTGCATTGCCTCCCTATCTTTCGCTTGTTTTTCGGCCATGTCTGATAACATCAAGCTCATATATGAATTCCCCTTTGGTTGTCGCTTTCTATATGTAAACCCAAGTTCCTCTGGGTTTATATATGAACCAATTCTCGGCATGAAATTGCTATGGCATCCACCAACAGCAACTGCCCAAGCGTCATTGTCCCGTGGTGGCCATGATGCTGAGTCCGAGCCATAAGTAGCAGAGCACTCACTAATATACATATCCTACAAAAGTAATGCAAACAAAACCTACAAAAGTAATGCAAACAAAACCTACAAAAGTAATGCAAACAAAACCTACAATGTATGACTGTAAATTTTTGCCACAGTATACACATAACAATGCCAAAAAATGCAACCATTATTATTTACGAACAAGTGATAACAAAGTAGCAATCATGGAGCGACAATCAATACCCAAGCACAATTGTTTCATGAACACCTACAAATACTAATACTTATGCAAAATTTTTGTTATATTCTACTTAACACCACTAACTTTATTAATATACCTTTTATTCACTTTTTCCAACAATCTATGTCACTCATAGAAAACTTTTTATCCAATATGTTTGCACTTACATGACGATTTTTATGTTTGTCGCCACACCATGGAGCTTCCTACCCTTGAGGGACACCTTTTTGCAAAATGTGTGTTTCCCTATATAGGTCTTGGTGTGCTGGCCTTAGCCCCCTAACAGCTTTGGTCTGTGTGTCACAACCACATTACGACAAATAGCAAGTTATTTATATTTATAGTTAATCGATAATCATAAAAAAAAGCAGTATATATTGTGTTAATTATCTATTATATATATACACTTTTCTTACTTTTCTTTCTTTTCTTACTTACCATCCGTTCTTCATGTACATCAAAACTCACTGATCTTGTAGTGTGTGAAACTTGTTCCCTAGATGGTTGGTTTTTCTTCCCCCTCTCGCTAAGAATGTGAAACTCATCAGAATCCCAATAAGTGCATAGTGTAGGCCATAGGTGCTCGGGCACTCATACCGGCCTATACTCACCGTTTGTACGCCACTTATCCCACTCATCCTTCATATTATCGCCCCATCCTTTCTTCATTGATCTTAAGAACACCTTTTGGACCGCATCCTCATCCTCTACAGCCCATTGATAATGTGTCTGTCACCACATACAAACAAATTATTTCCAAGTAACTTAATAACATATAGTATAATAACACAATATATACACCATATCCTATTTTTTCGTATATAGTTAATTACTATTCTGTCCATACGAAAGAGCTAATTGAAACAAATCAAAACTTTTAATACTTTATTGATAATCTCAAAATTATAAGGATTTTTGTGTCATATGATGACTGTTGTGATACCATATTGTTTTACCAATGTCATATGATGATTTTTTTTATTCATTTTTTTTCTTGTTTTTAAGGTATATGCAGTACTCATACCATTAAATTACCTGTCTCGATCAATGCACCAACAATATTGATTTTTGCTTCATCATATATGTTGTTATGTTATCAGTAATCATACAGTACATATCTGATGAAAGGATTATGTATGAAATGATAATTATTCTTACCTTAAACAACTCCCACACTTACACCATTTTGTGTTTTGGGAATAACTCATACGTGAAGTAATCACCATCATAAACCCTCTTCCATAGAGTCGTAATCAATCTAGGGACTTCAACATCCAAGAATGTACCTTTATGCGAAATTTGTATAAATGGTCTCTCATCTGGTCTTCTTGCAACCTATTTCGGTTTGTTTGAACCTCTTCCCTTCTGCTTCTAGCTAGAGGATGCGGCTACTACATGAATAGAACCCTGTGGACTAATAGACTGAGTATGCCCCGCGTTCATTACTGGGGTAACATCACGTGCAAGATCTACAGCGTCGTGACGTCCTCGTCTCCCTAATGTGGTGCGACTCTGCGCGGAGTTAATGGGCCCGCCTGACTTCCTGCAAAACATATTGTCACATAAAGAAGGTAAGTACTAATGTCACCAAATAAATACATGTCCAGTTTATAAATTTTCTTTTTATAAGCATTTACAACATCATAAATAATGTCAATGAAACAAATAATGAAGAAACAGTCATTAGTCATTCATAAGTATATTTGTTAATTAGGAAGTCTCGTACATAAGATTTTTTTTTAAATGACAACTAAAGTTTAAAACTATTACTGTACATGACTTCCAATTATTTAATGACTATTCAGTCTCGCTACTATCACCACTAGCATCGCTTCTTGTTTCATATCCATCATTTCCTTCACTCGCATTTTCATCAACATCATCATTTGCATTTCCATTTAAGTCAACCATTGTTGCTCCTTCTGCATGCAAATCCACACATTTTGTGGATGCCAAATTGGAACTATGCTCTAATGATTGTGTGGATGGTGGCTCTTCATCCTGGAATATTTCTTCTATATCAAGTGAAGTTGAACAAGTGTTAATCCAATGTCTAGCACGTATTTTGCATGCGGCGAACCGTCCATTAGTTGCTCGATTATCTGATGGGTAACTAGTGTAATACACTTGCGTTGCTTGACACGCAAGGCAAAATGGCTCGCCAGTCAACAATGATACTGTGGGTTGAATTCAACAATGTCGTAAACTTGGTTAATGCATGTTCCCCTACGTGTATCGAACCAATCACAATTGAATAAGACAATTGTCTGTATTTGTGCATGTGGTCCATAATACAATAGTTCGATGACTTTGTTAAGAATGCCATAATAATCAGTCTCGGCATTATCAGATATGGTTGTTCCTTTCACATATACACCACAGTTATATGTTTGTCTTTCACTACTGACTTTTTGTGTCATAAATCTAAAACCATTGACATAATAACCTCTGTAGACATTGACTGTCCATGATGGGCCCAATGCAAGGTATTGCAAAACCCCATTCCCTTCATGATGGCCATTTAACACCTACCAAATTTATATGTTCATATTATTAGTCAAATTTATAGTATTTTTGTTAAAAACTCAATTAGGTAATATATTGTATATTACCTAATTATATATATAGGTATATAATAATATTTGAAACAACATAACATGATGAAGAATATTGATTACCCTATCTTTGAACCACGTAACAAAACTTCTGTTGCGTGCTTTGTATGGATCACAAGGGGTCATATATACACCGACTTATCGATCAAAGATGCTGAAATATCGAAACAATTAGGTGTGACCACAAATGGAATGTTGAATTAACCTGCTATAATCCAACAAGCTTTCTCTAAAAATTTAATAAAAAAGAGTTTAGTTTGTCATATTTCACCTAAAAAGCGCATCAACTTCCCTACAGTTTAGTAGCATAAAGTTCAACCGCCTTCATCTCTTGAGTAGTTAGACAGTGTGTCTATGAATGTGAACCCATTGGATGACCAGGGCATGCAAATATTGAGAATTCTGTGTTCCTATAAGGTGGAACTGCTGCAAAGTTCCTTGGGGGCTTACTCCAACTTGTTTCAACATCCGCACCAAAATATCGGGAGCAAAAATCTGTTATTTCATTGAGAATGTATGCTTCGACAATGGATGCCTCAACATGATTCTTGTTCCCTATTGTTTGTTTAAGTTTGTGCATTTGTCTGTAAAATTTGAAATAAGTTATGAGCATAACAAATTGTTATATATTCTATTATACATGAAACTATTGTGAACTTGTTTGCATTGCCGTTTTAATGGGTACATCCATCGAAATTGTACAGGCCCACCAATCCGCGTCTCAAAAGGAAGATGGATTGTTAGGTGCTCCGTACAATCAAAAAATGATGGCGGGAAGATTCTTTCCAACTTACATATTATTTCAACTATCTTTGTTTCCCAAACTGCCATGTCTTTTATGTTGACATTTGGGGAACACAGTGCACGAAAAAAATTACTTACTTTTGTTAATGGACCCCATATAGAATCCGGCAACAAGCCATGAAAAGCAATTGGAATGAGGCGCTGCATGAATATGTGGCAATTGTGACTCTTCAATCCAACTAAGCGTAGCTCAGCTAAGTTCACACAAGGTGCGATGTTAGATGCAAAACCATCTGGAAATCGCACATGTTTGAGCCACGTACATAGACATCTTTTTTTATCCGTGTTAAGTGCATAACTTGCATTTGGCTTGCAAAGCGACCCAGAACGATCATAGTACAAGTGTAGTTCTTCCCTATCACAGTACAATGGTAAGTCCATTCTTGACTTAACATTATCTTTTGAGGACGAGTCATCCATGACTGTGTGTATGATGTTGTCAAAGAAATTCTTCTCATAGTGCATGACATCAAGATTGTGTCTGATCAGGTTATCCTCCCAGTATGGGAGTTCCTAGAAGATACTCCATTTCACCCAATTGTGTGTTTCATCGAACCCGAAAATAGTTTGGTTTACTGATGGATTTCCAAATAAAACATCAGGTAGTGTGGCAACTCAAAGTCGAACAGAATGACCATCTAATCGTGGAGAAGGGGGCCAAATTCAAAGCGGCCCTTAAGGAAATGAGTTGTATCCATTCTGTACGAGTGTGATGAAGGAAGAGACTGTCGATGACAGTCAAAGAATGAGATCTTGCGACCATTTTGCAAGTAAAAAGCACAAGTCATTTCCATGCAATATGGACAAGATAGATGACCATGTGTGCCCCATCCATAAACCATACCATAGCCGAGGAAATCCGTTATGGTCCACATAAGCATGGCTCGCATTGTGAAGTTCTGTTTACGGAAGCTGTCAAATGTTTCTACCCCTGACGACCATAACCATTTCAGGTCATCAATAAGTGGACGGAGGAAAACATCAATGTTTTTTCCTGGACTCTTTGGCCCAGAAATAACAAGTGTCAGGAATGTAAATTCAGGTCACATGTGCATCTCAGGAGGAAGATTGTAAACAATAATGAAAACAGGCCAACAGGAATATGACCTCGAAGAGTGATCCCATGGGTTAAACCTGTCTGTTGCAAGACCAACCCAGACATTTCGCAGATCAGCTGCAAATGAAGGATGAACAGCATCAAAGTGCTTCCAAGCATTAGATTGAGCTGGATGAATGAGGATCTCTAAGTCAACACGACATTTAAGGTGCCATGTCATATGCTCAGCGGTTTTATGAGACATGTACAGCCTCTGTAGGCGTGGAATAATGGGTAGATACCATAAAGAATTCCTCGGCCTATCCTTTTTTCCAGTTTGAGCAGAGTTGCATCTTTTATACCTGGGTTCACCACCAACTGGACAAGCAGTAAGTGACTTAGCCTCATCACCATAATACAGAAAGTAGTTGTTGACACATGCATCAATTTTGACATAACCTAAACCTAGGCTTTTCATGAATTTCTTTGCTTCATAAAAATTTGACGGTACTTTTTGTTGATCTTCCGGACTTAACAATTTCTTATAGCCATGAATGATCTCATTGTAACCAACACCACTTATGTTGTTTTTGGCTTTGGTGTGCAGCATATATGATAACCAACCAAGCAATGTTTGGTTATTTGATGCTGGTCCAAGTGGGATGGTTAAAGCACGCAACAAGTCATAAAAAGATTGTGCATTATTATTTGGCACATCTCCAACATTTTCATATGCAAACTCTGTTTCATTTCTATGGCGATCATTCTTAGATGGACAGAATGCATCATAAACCATGTGATGAAAATCATCCTCAGCATTACCATGTTCCTCAATATTACTTGAGGATGCCACATCACCTGTGGCAAACCATGGATCAACATTATTACTTAAAGTTTCACCATGTGCCTACCACACAGAATATGCATCCATGAAACCATATCTCAAGAGATGGTTTGTTACAACTGCCCTATTGTGGTCAGGTAAATGTCCACATTTACTACAGGGGCAGCGAATTTCGGCATTCGGGTGGACAACGAGATGACTATTTACGAAATCAAAAAATTGTTGTAATCCATTAAAGAATTCGCCATCATAATATCCACGAGGACCTCGTCGTCTATACATCCAACGACGATCATCTGTCATCTTTAACTGAATAATACAATTAATATTTTAAGTAAATTAAATCATTATTAAGGTAATAATAGTAATTATATAAGTACGAGTAAGAGATAAAGAAATGGGAAAAGTTGCAAACACTATTTACAAACTGGATCGGCTAGGTTGGTTCAATCGGTTGAATCAAAATCGGTTCTAAAAACGAGTCGGTTGATGATATTGACCTGGTTTGAGGTCAAACCGAATCAAAATCGATCAAACCAGCTCAGACCTAACCTAACCAAACCTATGAAATCCATTCAACTCTGTCAACCCAATCAACCGGGTCAAAACTTTTTTTTACATTTTCAATTATAGATGTGTTTTTGTTTAATTTTTAGTTTATATGTTGCTAATTAATAGATAATATAATAATTCAATTGTAAAATCTAGTTCAAATTAAATCACAATTAAGGAATGAAATTTTTTAACTTTATGTAAATGTAATTTGAAATTAAATTATTATTTCAAATTATAAAGTGATTGTAATTTAAAATAAATCAATTTGATTTTTAAAATAAAATAAGTAACAACTTTATACAATGAAATTGATGAAATCAACCTAAAA